AATCAGTCGAACAAGCCCCAACACCAAACAACAGAAAATAATGGGCCAAGCCCATATATAGAAATATAAGCCCACCAATAAATACCCAAAAGACCAAGTATGCTGGCAAACCACATGATCAACATGACCAAAGAGCCCCCAAACCTATGCATGATCATAGGTAGCCTTCCATCATTGGGGAAAATAGAATCCAGTCTACAATAGAGAAATAAAACATATAAAACATTTAATGATAAGATTTTGAATGCATCATTTTCAGCCAAAGCCCCAACCCCCCCCCCTTGCCTACATCAATACATTGCCACAAATAATATGTACATCCTCCATCACCATCTTACGACTATAAAGGGATGAAAAGGCAAATATGATTATTAGTTCTGGCAACTTCATAGGCAAACCTCCATGCATCTACTAATTATAATATTTCTTAATTTGTTTTCTTGTTTAGGCGAGCAGATCTTGTTTGTTGCCAATAACACCCATGCTTATCTCTATATCGCCACCAAAGAGGGAACAAGAGGGAAACAAATATGAAAAAAGAGAAAAGAAACCTACACGAACATTTATTTTCAAATATGCAGTAAACAAGGGTCCATATAAATCCTTAAACAAGAAATACCTTACCAATGAAATTTAATAGCCCAATCTTACATGAGACGAACTTAATGTTTTTTGCCAAAAAGGGTTGGACTTAATAAGCAATTTGAAAAAAACAGAAAAACAAAGAAACCTGATTACATATCTCTATAAAAATGATAGATATATTTGCAATTTACTCAAGGATTAGCAAACAAGATAATTCCGATCAGCAGCAAAATATGTGCAGAAGAAAAAAAAAGTCATTTCTGCACATCTACTTGCAGTTAAGGAATTATGTTATTTCAAGTTTCTCCAGTTAAAATTTGCTGCAAAACCATCTTCCTTGTGGATGAAAAATCATCTTATCATGTTAAAAATGTGAATCTTATTCAACGTGCCTGCTAGTTTGTTCTAGGGTTTTACAATGCTTTACTGGCATTAAGTTGGAAATAGAGATAAAGGTCAGAAAATACCAACTTAGGTTTCACCGTTTCAGTAAGAAAATTTGATACTGAGATGTTGGTGATGCAACAAAACTCTGCTGTGCCACAAATAGGATGATGCAGCATCCCCATCCTGAACAATTCAAGGAAGTATAAGGGTGGGGTGTTGCATCCGTTGCTAATCATGAAACTTTTTTTTTTTAACAGGAACTATGAATCATGAATGACTTTGAAGAGCACAAGTTCCAAAGGCTGATGTCAGCATGAGCACCTAAATATTAAATAACTGAATTGCATATGGCTATCTATTTTTTCCATTATATTTTATCAAATATTTCTTCCATCTTTACCATACTCCAAGGGTTATATCCTACTTTTCCATTTCTTCAAATTATGCAAAGTTCTACATCAAGTGAGTCAAGAACAATTGATCCGCATCACATGATATTAAAACTTTGTTGGACATGCATTAGTTTGTATAAGGGCCCAATTGCAACCCAAGCTTTTCATCGCTCTGCATTTGTTTCAACTAACATAGTAATGATCACCATTGTGACCCCTCATCACACCGCCCTCTCGATCAGGGCTGTCCATAATTGCACTACTCTTGATTCGTCTTATAGTGATTTTTTCTTAACAGGGTAAAGATGATAGAGCATGTCTTGCAGCTTGTGCACATTTTTATCATGGGAATTATACATTCATGTACAAAGCATGTGATTATAAAGCTCACATCAACATGATCAACCTGAAAATTGAATAAATCAAATTTCATATGGACATCTATTTCTTCCAAGAGGATTTTTTGCTCTCTAGGTATCCATAAAATTTCTTTCTGATTTTCCTCAATTCCCAAACTTCAATCCTTTCAAGCTTTTCAGATTCTTAAATTGCATTGAATCTTCCTTCTGGCAATATCAAGGTGATTGATTTTACATCAAATGTAATCAGAGCACTGATCATCCATCACATAATAAAAAATGTATGGATGATTGGTCAAACAATACAAAAGTTGTTGTTAGCTACGATAAGGCATACATCTCCAAATTAAGTAACAAAATGAATGTTTGATGGGTCTAATTTGCAACTTGATAAAACGTTAAGGATTTTTTTAGCAATGCATTGCGTTTGCAATGTTGTCCAAAACGAAAACAAACAATTCCAAAATATTGACATGTTAGAAACACATAAATCAAAGCCTTACCCCATGCGTGCATCCCTTAGGCTTCATAATCTTGGGAAACGCACATGTAGAGCAACTCAACCAACTATTGAGAGAAGCAGTGGTCTTATTTTTACTACAAATCACACTATCTCACAGCTACAAATGAAGATCAGTTATTAATCATGCATTGGAGCCATAAGCTTTATTAAATTCATAAAGTTTATGAGAGAGTTCATATAGTTTGCAAGGGAATCTACTGTTATAGGAAACTTCCCTAGCAATATGAAGCAAAAAGCAATTAAGCAAGCAAAATCGTACAATTTGCTATGCACATTTTTAATTCAAATGTAAAACACCCATAATATTCTTCATGAAAATGAATACAAAAGAAAGCTTATTTGAAGATGTAGTCATCAAAATGGAAAACATTATATTAACTTACATGTTGATTGGACTCAACTTAACTGGTGATTGGGATGCTATTAGATAAAAATTATGAATCTTTCATTGCAATAAAAAGTAGGTTTGATGAAATCAAATATAGCTATTCTACAACATCATCTACTAGCTAAGGAAGTTAGGTTGACACTTCTTGCACGATTTTTAGATGTAACTACAAAAGGCATGCGGTGTCAGCATTGAAACCATAATATAATAACTCGGAGTGCAATTTTTCACATTTACTATGGCAGCTGGGTAACACCCAATGCTAACACCAATCATACTAAGGAAAACTGGAAACAAGCCATGGCAATGGACTTGTAGAAAACCATCCTAGTTACATGTGAATTAGTCCAAGTCTAACACAGTGAAATGCATGGTTAGGATGAGTATTATGGCACCGCCTAATTAAAATGGTAGCTTCAGAACTTACATATCCACAACATGTCACGCTCTATGCAGAGCATCTTCAAAAGAGAAAAATAATAATTCAGCTCAAAAAGGAAGAATGGCTACACATCAAACATAGCTGAAACAGATAATCACGGTATTCACGCTAATATATTACAATCTAGTAAAAGAAATGAGGATCAAAACTTGCCACTAGGTTCTGCAGCTTTGGACTCAGTTGCTGCCTCGCATTTATCATCAATCTGATAGAAGTAAAACCAACTGCGTCAACGATGATAGATGAAAAACAAACTTCTCATAACTATTAATGATGGAAAAAAAAAAGTCACGGTATTATTAGCAATGCACCAAATGCATTATTGATGAGACGTAACCCATCAATGCCTTGATAATAGATTTCACGACCCAAACTTCTGGTTGTATATCCGATACAGATTTTTTTTAATATAAAACAGAAAACTCTCTGGAAACTCTCCTCTGGGACCAAGAACCCAATCATTTTTTTCTTCGCGTCGAGCTCCCAAAGAAATACGCCTACTTCCAAACTCCATTCCCAATACACCAATCAATATATCTAAGGCATACCGTCTGGATTCGGGTGAGTTTCCTCCGTTCAAGCTCTTTCTGCCACGCCTGGAGGTTCGCCTGAAGCTTCTTCCCCTTATCGCTCAGATTCTTTACAATATCCGATCCGAGATGCATGGTTAATCTAGTTATCTTTTCCTCAATCTGACCATCGGTGAGTTTTTGCTCGATCGGCCATGACGACGACTCGAGCACCGAGATGGAGGAGGATACCGAGGTGGGTTCCACCTCCAACTCCAACGGCGGCGTCGAGGCTCCCTTCTCAGGAAGCATCTGGCTCCAGTCTATCTTCAGAGGCGTACCTGCCATCTTCTGGTGAGGTGATTCAAAAGAGAAATTGCGATGGTGGAAGCCGACAGAGAAGGTGAGTGTGGCCTCAACGAAGTTGCAGGGTTTTCGATGCTTTGGGTTTAGGATTCCATTAAGGGGCTCTTTGCCAGATTTTGAGACGGTTTTATTGCTGTAAAACTGTAAAAGTTAATGCATGAAAACTAATTTTTCTATTTGATTTGATGTATGCTGAATAAAATAAAATTGATGCATTCTATGTACTTAAAAATTATTTGGTTGAATGTCTATAGAGAAAAATAAAAATATTTTAATTTAATTATATATTTTAAATTCACATTAAAAATTATAATTTAATAAGATTTTGAAAATTTTTATAGACATTAATAAAATTCTTTGTTAGATAAACTATCATGATATAACAACTCAATTTTTTCGAAAATAAATTTAAAATGAAGAATATGAATTTTTGTTTGAACTTGAGCGTTGCGGTGTTGACCTGATGACGTCACAGTGTTGGGCCTTCGGGTGCAAGTGCATCAAAAGTTGTAGTCGTGGCATATTCTCTATTAATTCACGTGATTAATGATTGAGAGTTATAAGAAATTATTAATATGGCGACATGTAAGGAGTGATGACATTGTTTACTAAGCATATAATTACTAATTACTTATTACTAAAAAAATATCATACAATATATAACTTTTTTCTAGTTTAATATGCTTATTGGAATGCATGTTACTACACTGTTGTATTGTAATATATTATTTTAATGTTATATTGATTGTTATTTTATTGTTATTGTGATGTTTTGCCTTGCCACTGATTGTATGGATATTAATATTGATACTACTATTCATTTACTATTATTGTATTAATTCAGTGTTTACTGATTTACCGGCACTGAACACGTGACTCCCATATTAAGTAAGAAATACTGAGCATGTGATATAGAATACTTATTGGATACTGATATATAATGATTGAACTTTATGTGTACACTAAGTTTCTAGTATTGCATTGCTATAGATTCCAAAATCTTTTATAGATGTTCTGCTTTATTGATTTGTATGATTTCTTTACTACATATGATTTGGAATAATTATTCGCTGTTTAGTGATTCAATCTTTATACTTATTAAGTGATTTATTGATATATAGTTTAATGATTTACTTATTCTCTTATTTATGTACCCCATTATTTTACTAGCTCATATACCATACTGTTTTCACTATTTTATAAATTTTACTGCTACTACATGTGATTTATTGTTTCTATATAGATTCATGATCATACTGACTAATATTATTTTGAGTATATTTATGACATGCATACTGATTTTTTCGTGCATTGAGTTATGTTATAAGATTTAGTGATATGTAAGACTTTTTAGCTAATTATATATGGTTAATGATTTCAGGTTAGGAAATACTATCAGGAGTATGAGATTGATCAATTACAAGATCCACGAGGCTTTTCTATTATCTTATTTAGTTCTGCTCATTTATTCTTCTATAATCAAAAGCAAATAGGTTGTATGATGTGATTGTATAACTCTGCTACTGTATATGAGTTTTAGGAATATAAAAACAAATATTTATCGATGTTTTGATCAATAGAATGGTTTTGATGCTAGTTTATATTATTGATAAAAGAAATTAGATAATTTTGGTGGTTGTTGTTGTAATTTTAAAAGATAACAAAAATAATTCTTCTAAATTTGACTTTGGGCGTGACACAAGACTCTGCACTTTTTAGCAAAGTAACAATATATCAATTGAAAAAATATTACTAGATGAAATCTATAACATGCCAATTGTTTTATTTCAATAAAGCTCAACAGAGTTTAATTAAAAGCTACCGCTAAAAATCCCAAAATATTAACAATATCAAACTAAAGTTTCAACACTCAACAGACTTTACAAAAACTATAATAGTATTATTGACATTCAAAAGATATATTATTCATTAATTCTCCTTTTATATGCTATCATCAACCACCTAAGCTTTTATGATGAAAATATGCACAATTATAAAGCAATAATCAAACTAATGAAAATGTTAAAGATGAAATCCAGCACAAAGTGCTAATGAATCATTTGTTTAACTCCTTTCGCATCCATCGATTATTTGATTCCTTAGGTTTGGAGATGATGGAATGAATTGTTGTTATGCACTTAGATAAGTTATCACATATAGTATCGATCTCTTACTTTGAAAATCCTAAAATGCTGGATAATTCAGTTATAAGTTCGCTAAACATTTTTCTTTCGTTGGAAGCTCTTATTGTTGTTTGAATTGCATTAGCAACTTGAGATGCACTGTTAGCCATCATTGCACTATAATTATGGATACTATGATCGTAAAATGGCCTTTTACTATTTTTCCTTTAGACGGACCCCTTAGAAGATGACGACATTGCTCGCTTTGTCACTCCTACAAGATATTATCTAAAATTTTGTTCCGGAGAGTAAACATCAACTGATGTATCTACAAGAGCCTCCATAAAACCAACATGCTCCTCATCATTAAAGTTAATATTTTGAGTACCAAATGGAGCTTGGCAATTTCCTGACCTAGCCCAATCTCCAACTGCATGGTCTTCACCACGAACATTCTATAATTTTGTATAATTCGGGAGAGTAATATATACATTATCTGTTATAACCCAAATATTTATTCAGGTTTTAGACTCCATAGAAACTCTTTTCTCTTCTTAGATTTAACACTTGATGCATTAGATGGATCTTGTGACTCCATTAATCCTGCAAATAACTATTTAGTTTGTAAAAAAAAAAATTGAAACAACTTCATTAGTGTGCTAGTGAAGAAGAATATGACATATTCAAGCAAAAAAATATATATTTACAAAACTTCGTCTTCAATGCATTTACAAAAGTACATATGCACAAAAAAAAAAGTCTTTAGCAAGGCTTTGAAAATCGGACCGATCAATGAACCGGAAGAAGAGGAGGTTAGCGGTTTGATAGTTCGACCGGGGTCGAACCGGATGACGTAATAAATATTTATTATATTTAAATATTATAATAATAACATAATTATTTATAAATATATAATAAAAATTGAAAATAATTATTTTAATTTGCAAAAATGTTGTCATAGCTAATATTACTATATTGGCTCCTGTAGACTCTCCCAACACGGACGCATCAATCCAGGTAAAATTATAAAGCAACAAAACTTTTTTCCCAAAACTCTTCATAAAAATTCAAACTTTGATGTCACAGACTCATGCTCCAACGTCATAATCGAGGACAACTTCATCATGGCGACGACTGCGTGGCCATTAAAAGTGAGATAACAGATAATAAAAGCATTATGCATTAGCTATAGATCATTTCACATTATATCATTTATAATTAATAAATATATACAAATTAATACTTTATAATATGTAATTAAATAAATTAATTGATTAAAAACAATTAACTTATAAAAATAAATATTATTTACAACATAAAAAATTTTCTTAAAATTTTGTTTAAAAATATATAATGTATATGTTTTGATAAGAGCTTTAACTTAATTATTTAGGTCTAAAGCATACCTCCTCGATTCGGGGGAGTTTCCTCCGCTCAAGCTCTTTCTGACAATCCTGGAGGTTCGCCTGAAGCTTCTGCCCTTTATCGCGCAGAGTCTTTGCAAGATCCGATTGAAGATGTTTGGCCAATCGAGGAATCTTCTTCTCAAGCTGGTTATTGGTGAGTACTCTCTCGATCGGCAATGGCGACGACTCAGGCAACAGGCGAGGTGGGGACCACCGCCTTAAGCTCCAACTCCAACGGCGGCCCGGGGGCTTCGTTATCCGGCGGTATCTGGCTCCCGTCCATTTAGAGAGGCTTGTCGGCCATCTTCCGGTGAGGTCATCCGAGCTAGAACAGAGGAGGTGAGTGTGGCCTGAGGATGCTTTGGTAATTTACGGGCGGGAGAAATAAACATGAAGAATTTTTTTTTTTTACATTTGACAAAAATCTTTTATACTTATATGATTATAGCAATTCATGAAATAATCTTACTAAATAATTAAAAGTACGAGAATTTTCTGATCCTAAGATTACACATAGTTCAAAATAATTATCTAATCTCAATTGTTTGATCCTCCAATTTAAATCTCAAAGTCCTCAATTATGGTTCAGTCTTTCATGTGCTCGATTTGAGCTCATATAAAGTTGGATAGAATCACTTATGATCTTGATAGATTCATCTTATCAAATTTCCATCCATGGCTTCTATTCCACCAAAATAAATTTAAGAGTTCGCAGCTGATGTGCAGTACAGTATCTTTAGTTGTCAAGAAGAAAGAATTCACTCTGCATTGAAAAACCATTGGAATACAGTAGTAGTACATAAAAGAACATCTCAATGAAGGGAATTGTGGAAAGATGAGAAAGAAAAAATGTCAAATATAGCTTATTACAAAACATAAAAGGAGATTTGTTAGCCTGCAATAATCTTATAGCTTGGATTGACAAGATTATCAAGGCCTGAAACAACTTGAATGGATTCGATGACATCGCCGACCTTCAGATCAGCAAGGTAATCTTCATTCTCTGTAACATAACCAAAAACTGCATATCTTCCATCCAGAATATTTGCATTGCTTGGAGTCAATTCACTCTCTTTGAGAAGCCAAAATACTTGGCTGGAAGCTGAATTGTTCTCAAATTCCTGTGGATAGAAGAAATATAGCCAGGAAGAAGGATATCAATCAGCTTTTCACTATGGTAAGGAAATGAATATTATTGGTCTTTAGACTGATTAGGCATATTCATCTTAATCTCAGAATTTTTTCCCGTGTTCAATTTAAGCTTCGCTTGGTACGACTTTCTTACTGCTTCTTAAAACAGTTCTTTAGTATAAAAATTTCTAATCTTCTTACTGCTTTTGAAGCTTTTCATTAGGATATTTTGACAGTTTTAGGATCAATCACAGTACTTAATATGACCAATAATTGATATGATTGATGTTAAAAATTTAAAATTTTAACATGAAGAAATGATAAAATTGATTCAAATTTGACAAATTAAAGGACTAAATTGAATATTAGAAAAATTGTATACTAAAATTGAACAAACCGAAAAAAAAAAGTCTACAGATAATTTGGATCACTTGCTAATTAGATAAATGATATTAGCATCTATCTAATGGGAGGAATTCACTAAAAGAGCTTACTTCTCTAGCCATTGCCATTGTTCCAAATGCATTGAAAGGAAGTCTTGTTTGGGCTTTGTAAAGACCAAGTTCCTGTTGCATTTGTAGGAACTTGAATTCAGAAAAATAAGAAAATAATATTTCAAATATTGGTGGAGAACATATATAAAAACTCACATAACACTCATCATGAATGAATGAAAAATGAGTAATTATAAATCTGTAACCAGTAGTTGGTATAAAATTTGTAATATGTAAATGAGAAATTTCTCTCATGCAGCAGAATTAACATTACAGAAAACCGAAAAGATTTTTACTGGAAAACAATGAAAACTTACTTCTAAGGTCGCACCATACACAGGCGTTTTATCACCAATGACCATGATTTCTAAAGGAATAGTTCTAACTTTTTCTGTGCTTGGATCAATAAAACCTTCTGCCGGGCCTTCAGGATCTCCAGTCTGAACTACAAAACCATCGGCTACAGAAACAAACATTCCATTAATTAAAATATATTGGTTTTCATGCAATAGTAACAACAGAAACTAATTAAAAACTTAAGCTTTAAATATACATCTCTGAATCTCCATTCCATCATAGAAGTGCCTTTCCACCAAGTCAATGAAATTGCCTGCTGTAACAGGAGCATTGTAACCATCCAGAACAATCCGAAAGATGCAATCTTGCACATTGGGATTGTCTTTAACCTTAACCTTCATATCCACCGTTGCTCTCCCTTTCAAAAGGGGCATGTTTTTGTACTCCTCTGGCACTTCATATGGGAAACCATCCACCATATCCTCTTCAACACTGCAGAAACCCAATGGCCCAGGAGAATCTCAGCTGCAGTCAATGACCAAGGGTGTATATGAGAATTGTGTCAATAGAGAGGGTGCCTTCCTAGTTCAATGTCAACTTAGGCTTCGTTTGTGACAGCATTCTTACTACTTCATAAAGCAGCTTTTTAGTATAAAAGTTTTAATTTTTGTACTAGAAAGCTGATTTAAGAAGCAGTAAAAAAGCCGTCCTAAACGAACCTTTAGTGTCACATGGCAAGATTTCTTGGTGCAGAAACCTAGCAACACTAGTGAAACTTACAAATTTTATCCAGCTTAAAACCAACCAGCCATTAGATCAAGCTTTTCACCCATATATGGGTGCTCAACGTAACCTGGAGCATGAAGCTCCTAACAATGCAGGAATTAGGTTGGAGTTAATGCAGAGATTGTTTCTGTTAGTCCAATGGATGCAACTTAATAACTACTCCAAGGTTGCCCTCTATACATATGTGTTACTCATTGTGAAATAATGCTTATGAATCAAATGGTGCTAGATGAAGGACCTCTATTGCTACCTTCAACTCTCCTATTTTTCTTTGCTTCTTCAATGCTAGTGGAGTGAGGGGCTTGACCTATTGGAAAATGATCTAAAGCCATGATAATAAATTACAAAAACTGAAGGGTGCCTTATATTCTTCATCCACTTCTTCTCCGATGTCGGTGGAGTGAGTGATTTCGACCTCATTGGGAAATGATCTAACCCTAGAATAGGAGAAAAATCTTATTGATGATGACTTTTTGGCATAAAAATTTTGTTTTATTCAAATTTAAGTAAAAAATATTGCATCAACTAAAATAACGAATTATTTAAAGTCATCAGAAAAAAAAAATAAAAAAACTCCAAAAATCAAGTTGACGAGTCACAGTAAAATCCAGGGACCAAATAAGTAGATATTATTACGTGCGGAGACCAGAAATAGAGAACCGTCCAATTTTGTCTCTGTGAACAGTAAAAGGATAGTGTTGAACTGTTCATAGAGACAAACCGGACGGTTCTCTATATCCGATCTCCGCACGTAATAATTTCTTCCAAAGTAGAGGACATTTAAATTGTGGATTACGTAAAGCACAACCCTAATCCGAGGAACCATAATGATATTTACCCCAAACCTTACTCTATTGTCGCTGACGTACAAGAGCCCGGAGTCAAAACATAGCTTCAAAAAAAAGTTGTATCTACTCCTAGCATATAAGGATAGATACTGACCCCCCAACATAATTAAGCAACTCCTTTTGCTTTGGAGCCACCGCATCCCTATTCCTTTCCTCAACAATACGTTGGAGTTCCTCCATGCCAACAGCTAATTTGTTTAGCAATTCCTCTCCATGGGCTTTCTTTGACTCAGCCACACCGGCAATAATAAATTTTCTTCCTTGGTTGAGCGCACGGGAAGCCTGCCTCACATTCTATTCTTGAGAAAGAGAAACATGTTTCAGATATCATTAAAACCCTTTGTAAATACAAATAAACATAAATTATCAGCGATCGGATGTTTTCTACAGAGCGCAATTGTCAACCATTACAACTTCCTGAGAAGAATACTGACAAATTGTAGAAGCAAAAGCTACATGTATTTGATTTGGAAAGAACGCAGTTTTAGCAGTCTGTTGCCCAAAAGCCAATGACCTTTTTATAATATATAGGTTATATAGGTTTCATTTGGTACGACTTTCTTACCGCTTCTTAAAAATTTTCTACTAAAAAGCTTCTTTAAGATTTAATTTTCTACTTAAAAAGCTACTTTAAGAAGCCGAAAGAAAGCCGCCCCAAACGAAGCCATAGTTAGTAGCATATCATGCACATCAGCAATAAAAAAAACCAGATAAGAGTGCTTTTATGCATGAAGGCCCTACTAAGAAGGAACAAAGGAAAGCTTTTTAACCTCAAAGATCAATGCGTGGCAACACTTACCCGCTCAACTGAATCCAATGCTTTGACACCAGCAATTTTGAGGCTGTCAGTTATATCTTCAAGTGGCTTTTGAACTTCCCTGATAGCTTTGTTGTCAATGGGCAGAGCATTTCTTAACAATGCACCAGGATCCTTAATAGGTGGTCCAGAAATTAGCACAGAAAGGTCAGGCAACACAGGACCTGAAGGAGTTGCATATGCAGGAAAACCAAACTGTGGAACACCTAATACCAATTCAAATGCAAGTGCTACAGACAACGCGCACTTCTTAAGATCAAATGAACTCTTTCTCTGTTCAAAACACAAATATGGAGTATAAACAAAACCACAAGATGCACAGCTTTAATAACAATGTATCGGCGAAAGTAAGACTTTTCTAAAGCATAAAGCATCACCACAATCCATATCGCAATTATTTGGAGTAGACCTTAGGAATTCTCATTTTTCATATGAGCCGAACACTGCCAACTACCACCAGAACGCTCAAAATTGCAATCAGTGATCAAAACGTCAATTATTTTTAACCAAATCTAGCCAGTATTAATTTCAAAATGGGAGAGCTTAACCAAACTTGTCCAGTAAAGCAATTCGGACCTAAAGAGCAATACTCTTCAAAGTGTTGCACACTATATCAATACTAACGCATATTACAAGACAGCATTCTGAATGCATTTATTTCATTTCTAGACGTTCAGATTTGCAAGCAATGAGCAAAACTCCAACTTCTTGACCAAATCCACCACTTCGAAACTTAGAAACAGATGAGAAATACGCAATCGAGCAAGAATTACCTCTTCACCAGCAATATCCCTCCGCGCAGGCCTCGATGAGGAGCACCGAAACCCCGGGCGGGGAACCCAAGCAGATCTCCTCGGCGACCTCCAAGGCGACGAGAAGGTGCTGAAAGGCGCGGGGGAGTAGCGTCTCGGAACTGAGAGGAGTGCGGCCATGCGAGAGAGCTAGGGTTGCTTGAGAAGCGGGAATTGGGATTCTAGGGTTCCTTAGAGGTTAGAGAGATAGGGTGGGGAGATAAGGAGAGTCGCCGGAAGAGATTAATAGCCGTTGTGAGTCGGCGCGATATGGATATGGATAGGGTCTGTCGGAGGAATTTTTAGTAGGTCCGGACGGACACGTGAAGTTGCTCTACATATGGATCTAGACGCAAATAAAATCGTGAGGCCCGGTGACCCGACTCGGAAGGGAAATTCGGTATTGTTATATTTGTGTATTGCTATATATTGTTCGGTATTGTTAGTTATTGTTTGGCAGTAACGAGAAATACTGTTCTGTCAAAATAAATACCGAGCAATACCTAGTAAAATCGGGGTATTGCTCGGCATTGCTAGATATTGCTTGGTTTTGCTAGGTATTGGTCTTGACATAATGATATTTTATCGTTACCGAGCAAAACCTAGCAATATCCTGGTTTGTACAAATCAACTAATACATATCAATATTGGGTTCCGGTCCAGGTCAAGTCGTCGGGCCGCGCGGTAAATAGTAAGAACACTTGGCGACATTTTATTGGCATCCGGATGTAGAGCTACGTCAGGTGTCCGGACCTAATAAAAATTCCTGTTGGAGAGTTGATAGTAGTTTCAGTTCTATCGCCCGATCAGTTTAGATATCCGGTCCAACATGCTCTCACGCCTAATTTTCTATATATATATACAAAATTGTCCATAGATGCCAAAAAAGTCTTTTTCCAACCTAAACATCAAAACTAAACTCGTCAAATTATTGCGTTCGGTGTCTGGATTCGTCCGGACACTAATCCGGTGTCGTCACGTCACCAAAATACGAACTTTTATTTGGTCCGGTGCAAGGACCTAGAGGAAGGTTCGGTTTTGCCTAAAAAAGTGCAAATACCGAGTTTTTTGAAAAAATACCGAGTTTTTCAAAAAAACTCGGTATTTGCACTTTTTGACCTATTTTTGTCTAAAACCGAACCTTCCTCTACATCCAGTGAAAGGACCTAATAATTGCTCCCAAAATACACCGGGACCCAATGTATTTGAATGACGTGGCGTCACCGGATTGGATGTCCGGACATCCGGTGACCAGACGCAATAATTCTCCCTTGTTAACATGCCTGGGAGGTCGGTTGTCGGGTAACTGTCATCGTCAGCAAAAATATGAAGCGCACTTAGCTCACATTCCTGACACGTGACAATGCCTTGACAATGTGCAAAATATTTGCTTAAATTTAAGCCATTTCCTATGTGATTTTCAGATATGTGGGCAAATTTTTAATTTATTTTAATTAATTAAACTTCGTTTTAATTTGTTTCAAAAAAGGAGTAAACTTTTTTTTTGTCAAAAAAAAAAGAGAGAAAATATTTAAACAAGGATTTTCAATAAATTTCTTCATATTTGATGTATAAATATCCCCTATAGGCTTCGATCTTCCCATGAAAACGACGTTGATAATTGTTGATGGATGTACCAAATTTAGGGGTTGCCAAGTGATGCGGACTAGAATATACGCGGCGGTAGAGTAAAAATATAGCGTCTTAACAATATATGTATATCCAGCACACCAATAGATAATTAAGGGAGAGAAACACCAGAAACTTTTTTATGTGGAAAACCTGAAAAGGGAAAAACCACGGGGCCTGGCCTAGATGAGAAATTTCCACTATATCTGGATTGGTTACAACGTTTGATTCGCCCCTTTACTTGGAGATGCTAGAATTACAGTAAGTTAATAACAGACAAAAATCTGATGATGATTAATGGATCGACCAAAATAAGGCAGTGGTTGGGAAAAGCTCCAGCAACGGTCAGTAGTAAAACTCAAGTGATGGTTGGCAGGAAAACTGGCAGTGGTTGGCAAGAAAACCTGGCGGTGGTCGGCAGGAACTCCGGCGGTGGTCGGCAGGAACTCCGGCGGTGGTTGGCAGGAACTCCGGCGGTGGTCGATGGCAAGAGAGCTCCCAAATTCCTCCCTTCCTTCTCCTCTTCTTCCTCTTCACTTGAGCCCTCTTGTGAAGAATGAGGGCTCTATTTATAATTTTTCTGGAGTGGCATGGCTTGTAAATAGGTGTGAGATCAAGGG